TACCTATTGGAAATTATCAATGGGAAGCTAGCCGTGAGTATTTACTTAAGAATCCAGCTATGCAAAAGAAATATCTCGAAAAGATTCTTAAAACTAAGTCAAATGCTTCACGTGAATATTTTTTAAACATTAAAGCTCATTTCTCTCTTAAGACCCATGATTATTTGAGAGATTTGCCTCTAGCAGTAAAGAATATCGCTGTAGAAAAGAATTGGCTAAGTCCTTATAATGCTAAACTTGTAGAACAATTAGATGGTAGACGCTTCTCTGCCACAGAAAAATTAGTCCTCCATTTTGGACTACGAAAGAATTATGTCATCCATTACCAAAAGTTTCAATATTATGTAAAATTAGGTATGATTGTAGATGAAGTTTCAGAGATATTCTCTTTTGACCAGACTAACTGGCTCATACCATATATTGCATTTAATACTGAGAAACGTTAAGGAGCCAAGAATGCTTTTGAAAAAGACTTCTTCAAGCTCATGAACAACTCTGTATATGGCAAGACTATAGAAAATGTTCACAAGTATCAGGATGTCAAACTCATAAAATGTAATAATGAGTGGGATGAAAAGGCATTCAGGAAAAAGGTCTGTAAGCCCAATTTTAAGTATGGTAGACCAATTGGACTTACATTAATAGGAGCGCATATGGAAAAGGCCAACGTGACTCTCAACAAACCTATTATAGTTGGAGCATCTGTTTTAGGACTTAGCAAGCTTCACATGTATCGCTTCTGGTATAGTTATATGAAAGAGCGATATGGTGATAAAGTTCAGCTCAGGTATATGAATACAGACTCTTTCATAATCCAAGCTGAGACAGAAGACATTTATAAAGATATGGCTGAGCGACCAGATCTCTTCGATCTCAATGACTTTAAAACTATAGGCCTTTTTAAGGATGAGACACCTGGTAATATAATCACAGAATAATTTCACATCCAAGCCAAGTCTTACCACTATGTTTTAGCAGATAAGACCACGAATTCTAGACATAAGGGGGTTAGTAAAAAAGGTATGGTCGAGATGGCAACTGATACATACTTCCCATCCTTAGGGGAAACTTTGCTAGATGATCCAGTAGACCAATCTGAATTTTTTGATCCTATGACCCAAGTATATCGAGACTGTCTCTTTGGTAAGGAAGTATTTTATACAAAGAATATAGGTATCTGATCAAAAGATTATGTATTATCTCTAGTCGAATCTGAGAAGAAGGCTCTCTGTCCTATAAGTACTAAACATTGGATATTATCAGATGGTATAACAGGTTTACCATATTGGTATTGGCGTATTATGATTTATAAAAATATGGTAAAAGCTGGTATTCTTTATGAAGAGGCTGAAAAAAGAGCTATGAGGGCCAAGCTCTCAGAGAAATACTAAAACAAATGTGTGTTTCACATATCTAGTTTTCAGCTATAAGTTAAATAGTGATGTATAGTCAGATCACATACAATATTATATTAGATTTTTTTTCCTGGCATGATAAATATTCAGTTTATTTTTTTTTTCAGATATATAAAAATGCCTTCTAAAAAATATCATACATATTATTCAGAAAAAGAAAAGGTATATGCTATTTAAGAGATCAAAGAGAACATTATAGCATTGGAACGTGATATAACTAAAATACATCAAAATCTTAAAAATATTGGCTGAGAAATCTATTATCTATATGATGCTATGACCGAATTATCTAAGTCTAATACTTTCAAGTCGAGCTTAGCTGAAAAAGCTTATACAATAGAGGAGGAACCTAGGGAATCAGTTTTTATGCCACTTAACAAAGTAAAATGTGTGAAGAAAAGATCTGGTAATAAGAAGGTAAAATGTAAAAGATATCCATCCCGTTCTGTTAACATTAAATCAACTAATTATTGAATCAGGCAAACTAACTAGTAATGACTAAGAAATCAAGGAATAATAGATACAAGACTACAGGACTGAAGGCGCTTTGCATAAGTTCACTACTAACCCCATGCAGTACTTACCATTATGCAATCTGGCCAAATATGATCACACATATAATAGGGTAACTGGTTTTATCATTGTTAAAAATATAAGGTAAGATAGGGTGGTAGGCGTGTTTGATTATCCTGAACTGTGTGATTATCTGGGAGTCTGATTTAGGTCGTAGGCACTATGCATGATAATTAATAGTTATATTTTTTTTTCTTCATACATAATTAGACTAATTTTAGCAGATAAGGAATGGAAAAACGATAAAAAAGAGGAGCCAGAGACGAGCTGGCTTAGCTATGCTTCCTTAACTAATAATTTACCTAATGAGCCAGGGAAGTAATCAAAGCATTTGAGAAAAACTTGAAGGAACTAGAAAACTTTGTAAAATTGTTTAAAAGCGATATGAGTAAAATGTTTGATATTTTCGATCCCAATTTTTCAGGCAGTTTAATTAATGCTAGTCTGGAGAAATAATCATATATATTAGTTCAGATATTTGATCTGTATACTTCTGAGATGAGTCTTAGAGGACCGGGAAGCGCGTTACATGAAACTTAAATATATTCGCTCTAAAGGTAAAACAGTATATGTATACTTTGAGGTGAGACTTAGAGGGTCAGAGACGCGTTGCATGAGACTTAGAGGTGAACATATCTTGCCTATATGCTCCATTTTGCTTCGCAGACTGTGAACACTATTTGCTTTCCTTAGTGGTAAGACTTAAAGAACTAGAGGCGCATTGCATGAGACTTAGAGATGAGACTTAAATATATCCGCCTTAGAGGTGAAACTTAAAGGTAAAACTTATTTTTTTTTGTCTAGAAGTTAGAATTAAAGGGCCAGAGGCGTGTTGCATGAGACTTAGAGGTGAACATATCTTGTATACATGCTCTGCTTCACTTTACAGACTTCGTGAACATTATGTTCGCCCTAGAGATTAAACTTATGAGGTGAGACTTAATTATGTTCGCCTAGAGGTGAGACTTTTTGTCATATTATTATGTAAATAAAATGTCTCCAGAACGGGTTTTAGCATAGTGAGAAATTAATGATATGTTAGAATATGTTCATTAATCTTTTAATCAAGAATTTGGTATCTGAATCTGATAAATCTCACCTCTTTGAGGTAAGACTTAACAGGAATTTGTTTACAGCAATGAATCAACTTTAAGATTAATTCTAGGATAACATAAAAATATGGTATGCAAATTAGGCTTGACTGGTCAAACCCCGAACACACTCGGACACTTCAGTCCTCAGTGATCAGGGTTCTCTTGAAGGGCAAGCAATATGGTATACTTTTTTCGTTATATTATTTGGGATTAAAAAGAGGCCAGTATGTTAACAAAGATGTTGTACATCTTGATCTTGAAAACCTAAAATTTGAGTAAGAAGATATGTTAACTAAATTTAAGCCCTAGCTCGATTTTAAGTATAAATTCACTATTGGATTTCGATATGTTTCCTGGTTGTGTAGGCTAATTTGGGATTTAATAAAGATTTTAAAATTTTCGTATATCAGAAAAGTAGCCAAGGGGGAGGCTACACACTATTTTTATACCTATTTGAAATTTTATCTCAGAAACCCCAAAATTGCCTATATTAAGATGTATAATCTCTTTATATAAAGATGTTAAAATTTTTAATTAAATCTTTAATCTATAATGTATATTTTTTGGCTAATACTTTTATTTTTGAAGTTAATTTCTTTGTATTTATATGAATTTAATAATTTTAATCTTGTTTTTCTTATCTTTTATTCTTATATTAAAATTTGATTTGATAAATACTTTGCTAAACTTTGCCTTTTTTAGTATTAATAATAGCAGCTTTATTCTTTCTTATTTGATTAGAATTAATAATTCAATTTATATTATTAATTGATATATATATTATTTATAAAATATATTATATACTTTAGTAATTATAAAATACTATATGTAAATATTCTTTAATATCAATAATTTGCAAATAAGAGAAGAAAAACTAGTAATAATTGTAATATAATTTGTTAAAGTTACTAATAATATATATATTAGAAGGACTCTAAAACTTATAATTAATATTTTTGATAAATTTATGAATTTATAATAAAATTATTTCAAATTCTATTAGATAGTTAGTCTAAAAAAAAAAATTATAATAATTCAATTTAATTTATCTATTTATAATAAGATCTTTAAAATATTTTATGACTTTTTTACTCATAAACTTATTAGAAATATCAATTATAAGTTTTTGAAATTCTATATTAGAATGTATTATTTTAAAAGATAATTATTAATTATGTATTTTTGAATAAAAAATTAAAGAGAGTTAATAATTTTTGCTGATATAATCTTTTCTTTGTCAGTAAAATTCATTTCTTTAAAAGTTATCTTTTAAATACTATCTGATATAATAATGTATTTGATTTTTACTAATTCATTAGTATATGAATAATTAATATAAGAATCAGATGATTTTTGCAGATGACACTTAAATTGATCAATTTTAGCTAATTTAAAAGGATACTATATTTCTACTAATAAAACTAAATCTTTATAATTTAAAAGTGTGATTATATAACATTCTTTTTCTATACTTAAAAGGTTTCTATATATAAAGAAAATTACAATTCTGATCATATAAAGATGAATGCTCTTTTTGTTCATTAATAATAATTCATTTGGAAGCATTAAAAAAACTAATGCCTATTTCTTCTAAATAATAATAATAAGCAGAAGTAATTTCTTTAGGATAACAATCTTTTCATCAGAAATATGGAGATAAAATCTATAAAAAGCATTATTTCTGAGATATCATATAATTTGCTATGTCAAGGTAGGTTTGTTCTTTGTAATAAGATAAAATATAACTAGGCTTTGGAAATGCAACCATCTTATTATTTAAAGTTTTTTTTAACAAAAGGTTTATTAGAAGCTGAATCAAATATTCCATTAACTCTTAACATGAATTCATCATTAAAAGCTTCTAAAAAGATAAGTTCAGGTTATCATCCTCTTTACAAAAATCTGAAGCTGACATGTTTTTTGAGCATTTTATATACTATCAAAGGTACATAGCAAAGTTTAAGTGCTTAATACAACAAAATCTGTTAAAAGTTATTTGCATATTAATATACCTATATAACTGTCTTCCTATTATTTGATACTCTTTTGTTTTTTCTTACCTAGTGTAATAATAGGGTGAGGTTCTATAGAAGTGTAAATAAAACAATTAGTGTAATTGTCCTCTAGTAGTATGAAAAGTAAATGCCAATCAATAAATTCTAATTAATTAAAACTACGTATTTACGAACAATTACAAAAAATTGAATATTAAAATAATAATAAAATCGGAAATTAAAAATATAAAGAAGTTACAAATACGAAATCTAAAAGTTAAAACGGCGAAAACGAAAATATTGTGAAGGGTTAAAGGAAGGATTTCAAGGTATATGGGAGGAATTCTATTAAAATCAAGTTACGAACATAGTAAATCATATGATCTGTACCGTGATTTTAATAGCTTACCTCCTCTATATATGCAAAATATAATAAGGGCGAGCGTGAAAAATGATTGTCACACTGGCACCTTAACAGCCGGCCTTTGACAGCCTGGCAAATGATCATCAAAGGACTAACTGCAAATATCGAAAGCGATTTTCATGCGGAATTATGGAGTTTTCGGGCGAAGCTATATCCAGTGTAACACTATTTATACAAATTCTGATTTATTTTTTTATAATAAATCATTTTTTTTTTTTAAATCTTTAGCGATTATTTTTAACAATTAAGAGTAGTTTCTTAAATTTTGACTTTTTTTTAATATTATTTTATTGTTACAAACAATAAGAGAAAAAGTCAAAAAAAAAGTCAATTTGAAAATGCTTGGTTTGGTATAAGGCGCGATATTACTAAGGATAACACGAGGGATATTCTTAAAAAAACGATAATATTATTATAATTATTTAAAGATTAATGTATTTATGCAAATTCTTAAAAATAAAGTGCGATTTTTGCACCGCCTGTTTCTTATATTCGGAAACTCCAATTAAATTTGACATTTCAGAAAACGCGTAATGTTTCTGAGCAATAGAAGGTAAATCCGATTTAAAGATTGGTTATAATCCAAACATTTGTAAAATTGCTAAAGGCTAGACTTTAATTAACTTTTGATTTTATTAAACGATCTTTTATTGTGTTATTTTTATATTATATCATACACAACTTAAAAATATTAAACACAATATTTCAATATTTAAAATTTTATGATTCGGTCTTATTTGAAATCGAATTACTATATAAAATCCTATTAATTTATTCAAAATAATAATAAAAAATCAATACTTGAACTTTAATTTTCTTATTAATCTTTTATACGTTCAAGAAATACGTATGGTTATTTGTTTGAACAATATTCTCTAAAAGATTCATTTGTCAAACTTATAAATTTGAATAATTATTATTATCTTTTCACAATGAAAATTTCCAATTCTTTTATTCTAATACCTTGACATTTACTATATTGTATTAACCTTGCACTTCCCAACCTTGGTTTTAATTATTCACAATTAGTCATCAGAATTTACAATATATAAAATCGGAACAATGATATTGTCGTGTGATCCAACCCTGACTACAATTCTCTCACCACTAAAAAAAAATTATTTAAGATTTGATACTGAACCAATGCAAATTTTGTTTCTCATTCCCTCTTCTTTTGCAGCGCGGAGCTTTCAGGATTAAAGTAACATACGATTAATGATAAAATACTTCCAACTACATGTCCAATATAAGAACTTAAAACACAAGAAATAGGCCACACCTAGAAATTAAAAATATTTACACAAGATATTCACAAAGATCCTAAATGAAAATGATTCTATTATGATTACCTGCCACGGCCTATCCCAATCTAATGGTATAACTATAGCGCCAGCCCAAGCACCTATGATTGTCCCTACAGTTGAATAATAAACCATTTTCTCTGGAATTGTTTCGGGACTTTTAATAATAATAATGATGATAATTTAATTTTAAAATACATTTTAAAAAAAAATTTATAAATTTACAACTTACTTGAAATCAGAAAATACTCTTGACCAATATGGACCATGGGTATTAAATGCAACCGCGGGTGGAAATATTCCTAACAATGAGACATATATTGCAAACATCAAAGTATTTTGTACATTACTTAAGAAAAAAAAAATAAAATAAAATAAATAAATAAATAATTGATTTTAGAACTTTTCTTAGATAGTGAAAAATGAACTTTAAAGATTACACGTACTGAAATAAAGATGCACCAAATAAAACAGATACGAGATGTAATACAAAAGCGGCGAATGCTGTTAAGTATAATGCTACAAAAAAATTCTTTAATTTTTTTTTTTTTTAATTGAATAAACACAAATTAATTTCTAAATTAAGAAATATCATTTTTTTTTTTTTTTTTTTTTTTGCTGCTATTTTTGATTTACATACCTTTCCTTTTTTCTTTATAAAATCATTAAACAAATTTTTAAATTTTTTCTTGGTTTCATAACCAACATTATTAGCATCACTATCCAAATAAACAAACCAACGAATAATTTCAATTGTAAATTGAATAAAAAATAATGAAATATTAGTCGTTTTTAAACTTTCTACGGAATTTTCGAATAGTTTGTGTTGAGGAAAATGAAATAAACAAAGTGTTGATAACATTAATTGTGTGAAGGTAATTACACCATGCGTTTTTAATTGAAATTTTATTGAATTGTCCGCATAATTTATCGAATTTGGAATTTCTAACGATGACGATGATGATGCATTACGAACTCTTGAAGTCATTTTCGAAATTGTTGAAAGGAAAAAAAAGGTGGCTCTTGTTGACAAATGCAAAGTACATGAAGTAGCACAGTATGTATGAGCACGTGACTTTAGGTGGCTTAGTAGTTATAATGTCTAATCCAAAATTCACAGCCATAATCTTTGAAACATCTGACGGATCTGGAACAGAAAAGGATCGGGGCTTGCGTTTAATTTATCAGACAGACTGCGCCATCTACAACCAAACCGTCCTACTATTTAATTAGAATTCACATTAATTTACCAGAATATACAGTTTCTCTCATCTATCAAAAAAATTTTTTTTACCTTTACCACAAAAATTTATAATATAATTAATGACCTCACTTTTACTAACAGTTGTAAAGACCATATTACTTCTGAAAAAAAATCCTAATATACTTGTCTAACGACTTGACTTTCTAAAGTTGGCTTAAAATAATTGCAACTTAGCTTTAGATAATTCTGTAAACCCACCTAGTACCTGTAAATACGACATAATAAAATTAGTTATCACGTATAAATACGCCTCGTCTTGACTTTTCGATATTCGTCGTTTCATTCTCATCTTCTTCGAAGATTGCCCGATACCTCTCGGGAAGCGGCAGAAATTACGTCACTCTTATATTACATTTTATGTTGATTCAGTTGAATGAGAGTTCCATACGTAAAAATTTTGGGTAGAACCATGCCATGCTAAAGGTTTTCGGGGCTGAGAAAAGACCTCTCTTTAATAAAATAAAAATCAAGAAGTTGTATAATCTGAAAAATGAGAATTATCTACGGAGAACAATTAAATGTACTCACAGGATTAGCCAGATTACAATGAAGGAACCTTCGTTCATCGTAACACCCGGTTACTAAACATTGTGTACGTTCCTGATGTTCCCGACAACTTTCGAGCACGGATACCATAACAGACAAAATCCTGGCGAACTATTGAATGGGATGGGATGAAGTTACATTCATTATGTGAGTGATTTTATGAACCAATTGAAATTAAAGAACTTGATGTATAGATACGTACGTCTTCAACATCAATTATTAAATCCGTTACATCATAGTTCATTTTTCTCTTTATTTCCGATGCATATATCGTAAATTATTCGATGATTGATTTAAATTTTGTAAGTTTTAAATAAACCACCTTTAATTTTAATAATACGATTATTTTCTTTTCTATAAGATCTATAAATTATTGAATTTTTTTGATTATTTATAAACTTGTCTGTTATATTTCTAGAATATTTAATATCTTTATCGGTCATTTACTATTTGATGATTTTTGCTAGTACAATTAATTTATTTTGTTATTATGTCAAATTGACAATTACTACTAGATAATATAGTTTAATAACTAATTATTAATTTAGTTATTGAAAGTGCAATTTTTATGATTTCTTAACTAACGTCATTTTCTTGATAGTATGATCTTCATCAGGTACATGTGACTCAGACAATAGTGTTTTGAGGAACTCTAGGGTAATTGATTACCTTTGGATGAAATATTTTGTGTCATTTTATATTATCAAAATGAAAAAAATATTTTTTTTTTGGGAAAAACTAGACTCGTAAAAGAAAAAAAGAAATATCATTTGTTTTATGGGAAAAATGGTTTAATAAAGCTAAAAAAAATCCTAATAAAGTTTAAATTTTTTTTTTTTTACGATGTGGCACTGCCAATAACTTTATTAAATTTATATAGAAAAAATACAAAGTAAATCAATAAATCTAGACTAAGTACTAGCTATCCCCCGTAGTTATATTACAAACCCGTTTGAATCG